TGGAAGCCATCGGGGACGGGGGATAGTTTAGGGACCAGGGGGCTCAGGATCGGTGAATCAAGGGAATGGATCTGTATCCTTTAGCGTAGCGACTGATCGTGGTGTGGCCCCCTCAACAAAGCTAGTGTGAAAGGATTTCACTCGTGTTTGCAAGTGGCTTCATGTTTTGCTTTAACTGTTTGAGTGATCGCGTCACCAGGCCACGTGACTATGTGGTCACAGAGGGTCAGCGGCTGGCCCCAAGCACGAATGAGGATAACAAATGTTGTCAGGTTCCTAAACAGAGCAGGACAGAAAGCAGTGCGGTGGTGCGGGCGTGTTGAAGCCGCACTCTGCAGGAGCACCCTCTGCCCCTAGAAACCCCTGTGGTCCCCGCCACCTGCGATTCCCTCCTCCAGCCACGCCTGTGGCGCATATGCTGCGTTCTCTGGTGCCACCGTGTGGTAGCAGGATGGATCAGCAGCGGCGAAGATGAGTTAGGTCCAGGCTCGGGAAAACTTGCTGTCCTCGCCATACGGCTTCCTCTGGACCTCTTAGTTGGAGTATGTGGACAGGGGCAGGGACTGCAGAAAACCTGCGTGTCAGAGCCCATGCCACCGTTTATCTCTTTCCTGGCCCATCCCATGCTCCACCTGGCTGTAGGTGAAGGCCTGGCCCACAGTGTCCTCTAGCCTGGGTCTCGCTTATCACACAGGCCTGCATTTGTCTCGTGTCCCTCCAAGGTGGTTGGCCGTCCCAGAACAAACCTTCACATTCTTCACTTGTGGTGAGAGGTAGGCAGGTAGTGGTCACAGCCAGCCCCAAGTCTCCTCAGGCTCCGTCCGCCCCTGCTGCCACCCTTCAGCTCTTAGTGCTGGCAGGGCTACATACCCAGTGATGCAGGAACAGCAGGACCTCCAAATGATCTAAGGGAAATATAACTCCCAACCTGCTGGACGTCTCACGAGCTGAGGTCATGTTCCCCAAAACTGAAGAATGAATCCTGAGAAATAATGTAAGCTAAGAGCAGAAAATTTTATTGTGGAGAAGACAAATTGAGGGAGATGGGAGTGAGCCCGAAAGTGGGGTGTCCATGAGCCCACTTTTCTTTCTTTCTTTCTTTCTTTCTTTCTTTCTTTCTTTCTTTCTTTCTTTCCTTTTCTTTCTTTCTTTCTTTCTTTCTTTCATACTTTAGGGAAGGGTCTACAGGGTGTTCAGGGTCTCACTACTAGATGGACTCGGAGTGATCCGCTTGTTTGTAGCCTCCCAAGAGCTGGGATTACAGGTGTGTACCACCACACCCAGTCTCAGTTGCTGTCTCAGCGTGCCCCGGGGGTGGGGCTGGCAAGGCAGGCCTGGGGATTGAACCCCGCGCCCCTGCGCTGAGCTATTTGGCCAGCCCTCATGAGTCTACTTTTCCAAGGAAGTTTTATACAGCAGAATCACGGGTGGGTAGGAAATCACGAGGTGGGTATAAGGTGGGACAGAAACTATGATGAACCAGTAAGATTACAAGTATAGTCGCACAAGTAATGTCGATCTCACGATCTCACAGGGGAGCAAGCCATGTAGCAAGTGTACATGGAGAGAACAAGTGGTTTGTGGTAGGCATCTTTACTGCGAGTATTGAGAACATGTAAGAAATGGCTTTCGGGGCACTTGGCACATTTAAAAACACTCAGAAGGAGGACCCCAGAATTGCTTCTGAAAATGGCAAGAAGGATGGGCTAAGTCAAGTGAGCAGAAGTATTCTGAGGCGGATTTGTCTCAGTGGACCTTTCAGTGTAACACATTCATTACATATTTTGCTCACGTCTCAGAGATGCTAACATAGAGGTGGTGCAGATAGTGGCATTAACTGCCTCCATGTTAAAAGAGCATTCATAAACTGTCCCCAGCAAGTAAGAGGAAACACTCATGAAGTGACAGAACAATCTCAGGAAAGACAGAAGACAGAACAACAAGGTGGAAAATTGAGAACCTGAAAACTCCAATAACAAATATTTAAAAAGTCACTCAATGAACTGCATAGAAAAGGAGAGATGACAAGAGCCTGTGAACTAGAAGACAGCAGCCACAGAAGCAGCTCACCTGAACAATGAGGGAGGAAGATTTTAAGCAATTCACAGAGTCTTGGTGAACTATGGGAAATAATAAGCCACCTAACACTGTGTCACCAGCATCCTGGAACAGGGAAAAGAGTGCGGGAAGAAAATATTCTTGAAGAACTAGCAGTTGAAAACATCCCACTTTCAACATGCCTAAGTATACAGATTAAAGAAACTTGGTGCATATAAAACAGGATGAATTCGTGGAAAATCTACGCCTCAATACACCATAATGAAACTGCTACAAAATAAAGAAAATCTTGAAGACAGCCAGAGAAAGTTCACACATTATTTATAAAGGGACAATGATTCAATTTATAGCACATTTCTTCTTGGAAATTGCAGAAATCAAAGGAAACTGGAACATAATACTGAAAAAAAATTGCTAATCCAAAACTCTAAAATATCCTTCAGGAATGGGAATTAAAATGTAAAATTTAAACATTAGCAGATTTAAGAGAATTTGTGGCTAGCAAACCTACTGGGATTTTTATTAGACTTGGAGAAAGCAAATATCTTAACAACATTGACTCTTTCAATCTAGGAATATATCTTTATATTAATTACCTTTTAAATTTAAGTAACACTGTATAGTTGTTGGCACAGCAGTCTTGCACATACACTTCAAAATCAATCTCTGTGTTTCATAGCTGTGTGCTGTTGCTCGCGGCATCATAATTATATATTCAACTCACAATTTTTTACTGCTAGTACTTAGAAATATGGTCTGAAATGCCCTAGATTCTAAAGATAGTCGGCCAACTAATGCAGCTTATAAATTCTGACCGGCCACTTCCCAGATCCACTTACTAACCTCGGCCATGTGCCCTGTGACGATCCGAGCCCCCCAACCTCTAGGCACCCTTCCTGGGTTCCTGTCACTCCCAGTGTGAGATGATACCAGCATCTATAGAAGCTGCACTCCATTTTGCTAGGTTTAATAACAGGCTTTGCTTGATGAGCACGTCTGCCTGTGGTCGTTTAGTTGAGCTCTGACGGTTGGGGGTCATGCACGGAAGGTTAGTGAGGATGCACAAGCCCAGTGTGCAGCCCCACGCAGGCAGCGGGCCCTCCGCAGGGCTGCCGACGTTCCACTGTGGGTCTGGATGGGCCAGCACAGTGATGAGGCGCAGCTCCAGCCTCATTCTGCAGGGCTCCCAACTCCATAACAGATTTGCTGTTCATCCTAGGAATAAATGGCCCAGAAGACATTTAATTATGGGAGCAGGTCTATATTAATTTTAATTTCCTTGGTGAATGCATTATCTATCTTTGGGTTATAAATTACTCCACAAGTTAGCACTTTAAATCACAAATGTTTATTCTTTTGTAATTTTTGAGGGCCAGGAGCCTGGGGGTGACCAAACTGCGTGGTTCTGGCTCAAGGTCTGGTAAGCACAGGTTGAGGGAAGCCTGACTCATTTCCAAGTTTATTTGCACAGGCGCTGCCAGACTCCAGCTTCTTGCTGACTTCAGTTCTGCACCATCTGGGCCTCCTCAAGGGCTTCCTGACATGATAGCTCCCTCCTCCAGAGCAGAGCGAAGAAGCACCAGAGTGAGAGGTAGAGGGATGGGGGAAAGCGAAGGGGGAGGGGAGAGAGAGAGGAGGGAAGGAGAGGGAGAGGGAGGGACAACATGACTACAGCTTTAGCTGCAGTCCTTTTGTGACCTAACCCTGTGTGCTATTGTGACACTGTCCCACTACACAGGGGACAGACAACACAGGCTGTGATCACTAGTGGTTAAGGTCCACAGAAGCACTGCTTGGCCGAGTCACCCACTGGCTACCTAGTGCAGAGTGGCCACTGGAGCCCTCCTTGCCAGGACCTGTTGTTCATCATGAGAGGCCAAGTTGCCTGATGCCAGTGTGCTGCATGCCAGGCACTTAATGAAAGCTGCTGGGTTCCTACACAACAAGTCAGGCATTACTGTCCACACTTCGTGAAAAGCTCAGCAATTCAGTCGGTCAACATCTCCTTAGCACAGGGCCGGGTATTGCCAGGCGTGTCACTGGCAATGTCAGAGCAGATTCCCCCAGTCCCTGGCTGCTGGCTCTGCCCTGCTGTACAGCTTGCTCCTCCACACCCCACTCCCAGCCCACCCGGTGGGCCCTAAGGCCTTCAGGTGCCTAGCACTACTATCACAGCTACAATCCTATTGTTCTATTATCTGAGTGTCATCTCACAAAATCTGGCAGACTCAGCCTCCACCTCGGACTACAAGGCAAATGCTGTCTGTATACATTCCAGGGGGGGCCTGAGATCAGTAGTTGTCATCATGGCTGCATTCCTAGTGCCTTAAGCTGTACTCAGATCTATACCTTGAGCGACTTTTTTCATGTGTGATCTTTTAAGTTACTTAATGATATGTTAAAGGCTCCAGAACAGGGGTCAATGTTGGTTTTCCCTTTTAGTTCTTTATATGATTCAAGGTATACACATTTTATCTTCTGGGTAATCTCTCACCATCACACAGGGGCTATCTTTGCTCTGGAAGAGGAGGAAAGGCAAAGAGGAGAGAGAGAGACAGGAGAAAAGTGGCACTGTGGGAGGAGGCCAGCCTTAGACAGGGATCTATGTGAGCTTTAGTGCCTCATAAAAGGATGATACTTAGCCTGTGGCCTGGACAGTGGTGGCAGGTCCCGTTCCCAGCAGGCGCCCTTGTGTTACCGCACACGGGGTCTTGGCTTCCGTGGAGCTTGGTATTAGCAATATTGCTCTGGCGCGGCCCTGGAATACTCCCCCCCTTTACTCAGTGCAAGGCAGGAGGCACTGGCTTGTTTCCTGGCTTCTTTGTTTTCACTTTGGGCTTCTGGACAATTCTGGCTCTGTGTGATGCCCCACACAGGGTAACATCTGTGTGTGCGTGTGGCACCAAGGATGGAACCCAGGGCCCGCCATACGCGAGGCAAGTGCTCTCCCACTGAGCTATATCTACAACTCCAAATTTAAAACATCTTACTTATTGTTTTACTATTTTCGCTGGATCTGTTTGCTTTAGACTTTGGAATCCCATCTCTCCCAGGCATTGAGCTCAAGTATCACTACCTCCACTGTGCTTTGTTCAGGTGCCCCACCTCATGTGACAGGGGAAGTCACAGTACCTCGCGCCCACCCATTCTGACACTTCCGTCACATCTGCATCTCTGTCTCCCCAGTAGTAGAGCAGTTTCATTCCAGTCCTGAGTCAGCTTCCTTTGGGTGCCATCCCTATCCCCCCGCCCCATCCCGCCTGGAGAGGACGGCACGATGCCCATCCCAAACATGTCCCTAGGCAATGGCACCCAGCTAGTGGCTAGGGCACCACTCAGGACATAAGGGGCTGTGTCTCCTCAAGAGGAGAGGTTTTCCAAAGGGACCCTGGCCAGCTCCCCCCCACCACCACCACTTTCAGGTCCTTTAGATACTGTTGTGTGTTTGAGTCCACATGAAACTCCCAAGGCTGGAGTTTATTTCTGAGTTCAACTATCACTCACTACACAGACCTCGACTGAATCATTGCCAACAGATTGAAATTATATTTCACATAAAACAATTGTGAAAACTTTATAATACTATTTTTAAGATCAACATGAAAAAGGGATTTGAGTATTTTCTCTTCTGTGAGATGTTCTGCCAGCCTGGAGCTGTGCAAGGAGAGCGATCCCGAGGTCACCGTCATGGGATGCCGAGGCCCGAGCCAGGAACTCGGCACTAGGTGAAGATGCACCTCAGAGGCGGAGCACCAGGCGTGCACTGTCCTGCTAATGGACCAGGCACCAGCGCTCACCGCCACCTCTACCCCAAGCATGTGTGTGCCAGGCCCATGCTGGAAACCACCTTTATAGCCAGCTTCACAGAAAAAATACCCTTATAGAAAACAACGCGAGAAGATAAAAACGCCAGGCACCAGGAAGGGTCCCTTGGGCGACCAGTGCCATTCAACGGAGGGAAGCTCAGGTCTGATACGCCGGAGTCAGCCCAGGCTCTCCGACAGGGTTCCGAGCCAGGGCGTCAGAGGTGCAGTCTACCTGCTGCGCGTCAGTGAGTCCCTGCAGTTGCCGGCTGCTGCTGTGTCCCTGCCACTTCCTCATCTCTGCCCTGTGAACAGAGTGAGTGTCTTTGGAAGGAATGAGAAGCGGACCGGGAAGCCCAGCAGCAGCATACTAGCCTCAGCAGCCCTTCTGGGTGATGTCCAGTCCCGATGACTTGGTGATGTCCAGGGTTGTGAACACCTGTGCACGAGAGAGGAGACACACAGATATACAGATATTACTGCTGCTTTGGGAGAACACCACACCACCCCTTAAAATACATAAAACAGCCAGGGGTGGTGGTGCACACATGTAACCCCAGCACTCAGGAGGCTGAGGCAGGAGGATTGCAATGAGTTCCAGGGTGGCCTAGGTTACGCAGAGTTCAAGACGAGCCTGAATTACATAGTGAGATCCTGTCTCAAGAACAAAAACAAACAAACAACAACAACAAAAAAACCCCTGCTACTTACTAAGGAAAGATCTTTCTCACATACAAGATTTTTTTTTTTTTTTTTTTTTGCGGGGGGTAGATCTGGGGATTGAACTCAGGCCCTTGCACTTGCCAGGGAAGCGGTTATTCTACTGAGCCGTCTCCCTGGCCCCTCTGGAAAAGTCTTTCTGACATGCACTTTATAATGGTTTTTCAAACACCATCAACTGAAGCTGAAGAAGGAACCTGTTCCCTACCTCTCCACATGTGGGGTGGATTCCAATAGTGTCATCGAGCAGCTGTTTCGTGAGTCCACATTTCATTGCGACTGCAAACCCTTGGGTGATCTCGCCAGCGTTGGGTCCAAGAACATGAAATCCTATCACCCGCGCCTTTAATGAAGGCAACAACAGAGAAGCAGGTAAGTTAATGATCTGAACAGAAACCCGTTCCCTGAAAGCTCACGTTAAGATTTACGGTCTCTCCTTCAGGAAAGGCAAACTCCACTGTGCAAGAGAGCAGAGAACATTGCCAGGAAAGTAAGCCACGGCAGGAATCTGTTAAATGAGCCAGTAAATGCGCGGCCGGAGTTAATGTGCACTCAAATTTACTAGAACAAGCAATTTCCCCACTGCGTAAAGGAGTTCATTAGGGTGATGTAAATTGCTGAATTACCCAGGGACGGCGTGCAATAACAACACGGCAACTCTAAATTAAAGTCCAATGCCAGGATAATCCCAAGGCATCAGGGCTACTGAAATGCAAGGCCACCAGCCCAGGAAGCAGGATGCCATCTCCAACATGGAGCAGAGACGAGGGACAGCTGGTGCCGGCTGTCACCAGGTGTCTGTTATCATCGGGTCTGCCTTCACATGACAAGCGCCCTTTGGTATTATAGGCATACTCGTGGTCAGATTCCAGGGACAGTTAGGGTTATGAAGAAAAGACATGAAGGGCAATAGAGGGCAGGGCCAGGGGCATGGCTGCCCACTCAGACAATGCTATCAAGGCTGGGGTCAGGGAATTCGGCCTTGCACAGAGCTCAGAGTCCTAGATGGGGTGGAAGTGCAGCTGCCAGGACCACTGGCGGCTGTGGGGTCAGATTCTGGCCACATCACGCAGCACACTGGGAGGGGGACATCCATGAAGATTCCACTGGAAACTGAAAATAAAGGCAGGGCTTGGCCAGGAAGTGTGCAATGTTTTCCACACAGCAGAGTTAAAATCTTTTTTCCATTTCACAAATACAGGGTTGATACCTAGGAAAGGATGCTTGCAGCTAGGCTGCGGCTCAGGGTGGGGTGCTTGTCTCACATGTGTCAGGCCCTAGGTTCAAATCCCAGCATCGCAAAGAAAAGACAGAGGAAGGGTGGGAGGATGGAAGGAAAAAAGGGAGGAAATCTAGACAGAGGAAAGGAGTGGCCACTCTGCCTTTCTCTGGTGACAGGTGGCAAGTGAGAGCTCATAACCCAGGGACATGGTGGGTGCTGAGGGTGAGCAGAAGTGAGTCAGGGGACAGAGTGGACAGGATAGGCCCTGAGCACTGCCTGGGGCTAGTGGTTAGAGCCAGCACCTCTATGAAGTGGCTACAGGTCTCCACCCAGCAGGGCCCTCCTGGCCACCAGCTCAGGTTAGGACAGCAGGGGAGGGATCACAGCATCTCCCTGCTCCTTTGAGAAAGGCTGCCTGGCCAGGCATGAACACCAATAATCCTAGCTCTCAGGAGGAGGAGAAGGGAAAGAAGGAGGAAGAAGGAGGAAGAGATAGGGAAGGGAGGGAGAGAGGGAGGTAAGGGAGAGAGAGAGAGAGAGAGAGAGAGAGAGAGAGAGAGAGAGAGAGAGACAGAGATAGCGACAGAGAGAGCAAACAAACAAGAAAGGAAGAAAGGCTTCCTACCACTCCCGCATGAGCTTCCCATGGCTTTTCCCAAAGGACCCCAATGCAGTCCTCACCAGAACACTGACCCTAGGGAGAGTACCACCAGCCTCTCCCACAGGGCAGCTTGTAGGGCCATTGTGACCATCTTCCCCATCACTGCCCTGGAGACAAGTGCAGCTCCCAGACTGAGTCCCAGAGCCCAGGCTGTGAGGGTTGATCAGTTGTGCCAACTTGAGTAAGAGAAACTTAACTAAACGAGCTCAGCAATTCCACACTTGGGTGTGGAAGACCCATCCTAGGGTGGCTTCTCCCTGGATGGCATAAAGGGGACGAGAAGAAGGCTGGACCTGCTTGTTTCTTCAGAGGAGCTCTAGTCTTTGCCTTCACCTTAGACGCTGTCTCCTGCCTTTCAGTGCAGATTTTTGGCTCTCAGAGCAAACTCTTCAGCCCTCTGCTGCAAACCCATCGACCCTCTGACATGACTCGCATGGGACACTGCAGTGGGCTCCAGACCTTGGACTGAATCCTTCAGTCTCCAGTGTGCAGACACCCTCTGCATGCACCCTCATCTGACTCTGTGGCTGACCATCATAAGCCAATCTTGTGACTTCTTATAGTTTTGTACATCCTGTGTTAAATCTGTTTCTCTAGTAAATCACTTGACTGACAACATGCCAATGGGCTGGTGGCCCTGGACCTTTGTGTCATCTCAAGAGTAAGACAACACAGAGACACCATCTCATTTCTTCCTCACAATAGTGGCTGTATGAGGCATGATGTTTTCAAGCCTCATCTGTCCAGAGAGAATGCACAGGGCCACACACATACCAGGCACATGCTCTGCTGCTGAGGCCCAACCTGCTCCAGACTGCAAAACCCTTAGAGAGAGAAGAACAGGGTCTTCCCACCATGGTCTATACCCAAGGTCTTCACAAAACAAGTCCTCAACAAGTTATACTCTCAGCTACCTTGGAGCTCATGGCTGTCCCCACCCCTCAGGGACAGCTGTCATCCTCTCAGTTGCTCTAACGTGAAGCCTGTCAGCCCTCTGCCTTTCCTGGGGTCCACTTGTGGTGACCATCTTTCCAGGGCTCCTATACACCTTCCATTTCTTCTCCAAAACACACACACACACACACACACACACACACACACACACACACACACAGCACCATACTGGGTGACAATCCCAAGCTCCATGCTGATCCCATCCTAACCGTTCAGCCTAAAGCACTGTGTGGTGATGACATCTGGGATGCATCTGTGAGCCTGATGACAGTCCATACCTAACGAGCTCTGTGCATGTGTCCCCTGAGGACATTGACAGGGTGAAACAACTTCAAATCCTACCCACAAGGGCTACTTTTTGTTTTGAACCTGAAATACAGATACAGCACAGGACTGCAGCTGCAGTCATGCTACATACATTATCAAGCTTATTGCAGATGATCTTCGCGTAGCATGTGTTGCTGTCTCTGCCAGCCACTGTCCACTCGAGTGGCCAGAACAAGGTATGAAACACCTAGAGAAGAGAAGAGGAGAGAAAGGCCGAGGTGAACACCCATGAAGACCACTCCATGCCACTCTTTAACTCTACAGACAGAGGTCTTCACACTGCTTGCAGAGATTTATGGAGGAGCTGACTTGAGGTCTGGGGTAGGAGCATCTGAGCCGGAGCCCCCAGAACATTACCTGCACAGATGTCCTGGCTGTTTGTCACTCAGCTGTCATAAGGAAAACAGCCCTAAGGACTCAGTTCAGTTCTAAACATTTACAGAGTTCAGTCAATCTAAGGCCACTCACTAGACATGGGGTGGGCTGAAGAGGTGAGGACCGAGCGGCTGCCTGTCGCAGACAAAGCCATTCCAAGTCAAGGAACAGCAGCTGTGATGACTGTGCTTGCCATTCAGAGGCAGAGCGTGTGACCTGTACCGGGCATGGCATACTTCAGTCCTGAGTTCCAGCTAGAGCTCCGGAGGACACCGACCCCAGCATACCCCTCCACTGCTCAGGATGGTGATGCTCTCCTGGGTCATCCCCTCAACCACTCCACACAGAAGGCGGTAAACATGCTTGGCAACAGAGAAGTGTATTCTGAGCTGGACTCCACAGTGGGTGGACTGAAATTGTTTACGATCCCAGCCGGACACAGTCAATTTGAGGGAGTGTCCACAGCTGGGGTAGGTGCAGTGAACACCAGCATTACTGAAAAGTAGCACTGTACACACTTCCACGTAACAAAAATTACTGTTTTAAAAGAAGAGAAACTCTTCCACCTATTTTAATGCTAACTTTTTAGTCTCTGATTTTAGGAAGAGAAGACAAATATTTCTTTCTCACAAGATCAATTTCCTAAAGATAGCCTTCTTGGGTTAAGGAGAGTCTTCCAGCATAGTTTTGGAAGCAGCGAGCCTCTACTTCGACAGTCCCTGTTGCAGATTAAGGGAGAGGTGCCCAGCTTCTTCTGTCTCCCCCTTCCCCATGACCACCTACTCCCCTGGGTTTTGGTAAATGTGTATACTAACTTTAAGGATTTCCCTGGAAGCCTTTGGCCTATGGCTTCAAAGTAGGTGTGAGGTGTAGATCCAGCTGTTTCTGTCCAGATGGGCTCCCACTCTGCTTGCGGCACCAGCCTCGAGTGGTCAAGCTGTCTTTTCCCACTAACAGCACTCCTGCACCACATCATAACTCTAAGAGCATTTGGATTAGATCTGGATTGCGTGTTGTCCCCTGTATGCCTCCAGCGCACAACTGTAATGACTGGCTGTGTCATAAATCATTTTATCGATTGTGCTGTCTCCCCATTTATCCTATTTACCTTGTGATTACTGCTCTTATGCAAGACAATGATCTCTGCCCCTAAGTACTTACTTCAACCTACCCAGAGGCCCCTACATTTAAGTCTTGTATATTTTTTTTTTTTATGTGTGTATGTGTTTCTCTTCATGTAAAAGAAAACATGCTTAAATCAGAACTCGCCTCCCTGGAAGAGGAGGCTGTAGCTATCTCTCTTCCCACAGCCTCTTAGCACCCTATCCTCTCAGGTACACTCAAGGTCTTCCTGTACTCAAGCTGTACAGAGATGAGTGGAAAGCCACACTCAAAGAGTGGCACTCCAAGGGGTCAGGGAGATGGCTCAGTGGAATAAGCACTTCCCTGGCAAGTGTAAGGGCCAGAGTTCAATCCCCGGTTCTGCCAAAAAAAAAAAAAAAAAAAAAAAAAAAGGGTGGAGCTCCCAACCTCACACTATGGGACACTATATGATACAGACAAGCTGCGGCACACTGTTTCTAACTCCTAGAAGACACAGGAACGTAGCTTCTTAACTTTGGATTACCCAAATGTGATGTCCAAAGAACAAGTGACAAAATGAGAAATTGTACTTCAAAATTAAAGTCCTTTGTATCTTAAAGGATATCATTAAGAATGTTAAAACATGATGCCCTGAATGGAAAAAAAATTTTTTTTAAACATCTTTCTCATCAGGGACATGTACATGGGCTACTTAGAAAGAACTCTTGTAACTTAGGTTGAGAATATCACTCAGTGGCAGACAGTATTAGCATACGAGTCCCTGGGTTCACACTCTAGTGCCACACAAGTGTGCACACAAAGGAACTTTACAACTGAACAATAAAGAAGAAAATCACTCAATTTTAGATTTATTTTTTTGGTACTGGGAATCAAACTCGGAACCTTGTACTTGTCAGGCAGGCACTTATGCCACTGAGCTATCTCCCTGGCCTAATAACTCAATTTTAAAAAGGACAGAGAACCTAACAACATTTCTCCAAGGGATATGCAAATTGCCAATAGATGCAAGGAAAGATGCTCAACACCATTCATTAGTCATAGGGAAATAAACATCACAACCATAATGGGACACCACTGGGATGGCATATTAGCTTTCCAAGGCTGCCCTAAATAATCACCACAATCTTTCATCTTAAAACAAATGTATTTCCCCAGTTCTGGAAGCCAGAACTCAGAAATCATGGCATGAGCAGGTCCTCTGGAAGCTCTGAGAGAGAATCCCTCCTTGCCTCACCAGCCTCTGGCGTCTCTGAGTTCTTTGGCTTTTGGTAGTGGCCCTAGGACCCAGTAATGCCACTCTCAGGTAGATACTCTGAAAGCTGGTGACAATGCAGGGACTGAGATATGAATGTACGTAGCAGTATTATTCACAATGGACAAAAAGTGGAAACAATTCAAACTGTCCATTCTTTGTCCGACTTAGCAACCAATATACAAAATGTAGCATGTGTGCAGTTATTATTACCTTTGAAAAGAAATTAAATAGGGACACATGCTACACCATGGATGCATCTTAAATATGCTCAGGGAGATAGCCAAGCACAAAAGACCATAACTGAATGATTTCACATTCATGAAATGTCCAACATAGATAAATCTACACTGTTTGGGGAGATAAGGAAGAACAGCTAGTGGATACAAGCCTCTTTTTAATGATAAAAATGTAAAACTGATTGCAGAAGAGAATGCTAAATATTAAGAAATACTAAAATCCACTTAATCTTAGTGAATTTTATGGTATATAAGTTACATCCTCAATAAAGCTACTTTCTTTTAAAGACAAGGTCTCGTTCTGTAATTCAGTCTGGACTGGAGCTCTCTTTGTAGCCCGGGCTGGCCTTGAAGTTGCATCAATCCTCCTGCCTCAGCTTCACGAGTACTGGTATTACTGGCATGCAGAATCACGCCTGGATAAAGTTACTATTTTTTTAAAAAGTAAGCTATTCAGGGGCCAGGGATATAGCTCAGTGGCATAAGCCCCTTCCTGGCAAATGCAAGGTCCTGAGTTTGATCCCTGGTACTGTGGAGAAAAAAAAAGTAAGCTATTCACAACTGAGTCATATAGTAAAGTATGACTGTTTTACCCATATATTCATTTTTATTTTCTACAGAGTTAAAAAGAATTTTGTTTTGTCACAGACAATTTTCAAAGTCCTAACCCTAAATTAGTTCTGTACTGTAATAACATTAAGTTTCTGGTCCATGAAGACAAGATGCTTTTCCATTTACTTAAGGTTTTACTTTTTGAACAATCTTTTGTAGCTTCAGTGTACACACTTTCACCACCTTGATTAAAATCATTAGTAAGTACTTTATTCTCTTTGATTCCATTAAAAGTGAAATAGTTCATTCACTTGTTTTTGGACAGCGCATCGGAAGGGTATAAAAATACAACTGCCTTTCATGTGTCAGCCTTATATCCTGAAATTTTGCAAATTCATGTACTAGCTCTGTTGCGGACTCAACTGAATCTCACGCTACCAAAGTCACTTGTCGAAATCTATTCCAAACACCTTTGAACATAGTTGTTTTTGGATAGGGTCCTTGCTGAGATAAATCTTTATCAATAATCAAATGTAAATGGATTAAATGTTCCTAAAAGTAGAGTTCAGTATATTTGATTTTTAAAAATCAGGATCCATCTATATGTTGTTTAAGCAGATTCACTCCATTAGTACTTATTTCTACTTTTTGGAGTATACCATATTTTACTTCCTTCTTTCCTTTTCTATATATATTTCAAGTTACTTTCACCAGTGGTTTGCTTGAGGATTTTAGTCAACATTCTAAATTTGTGGTAATCCAGTATGAGTGACATCTACTTAGTTTCTACATCTCTGCTCCTCAGGCTTTTATATTCTTATTGCCACAGATTATATCTACATATAACATATGCTCATTAACATATATTTATAATTATCACTTTAATTCCTTTGCTTTTTAAAATTATATAGGCCAGGAGAATAGTTACCAAGGAAACCAAAAGGACAAAACCCCTGGCTTTTGCATTTACATGTGATGCCAGTCTCAAGGGCTCCTGTCTCCTGCACCTTCCAGTTGCTGTCTGCTGTGTTTCATCCGGGTCTTGAGTGCACATTTCTTTAGGGCATTTCTGTGGATACTGAACTCCTTCCACCTTTGACTTTCTGGATATGTCTTCATTTCCCCTTCATTTTTAAAGACTAGTTTGGCTGAGTACAGCATTTTTAAGAGACAGTTTTTCTCTCCAGACTTTAAATATGCCATCCTGTTGCCATATGGCCAACATGATTTATGGTTTACGATGAGAAACCAGCTGTTCAGTTACTGCTCTCAAAACTGTCTGGAGTCCAGCAGCCAGCCTGTAACATGCACGTTTGTGGATCTTTGAGTTCATCCAGCCTGGTGCGCACCAGGCTGTCTGGTTACGTGGGTCCTGTCTTTTATTAACTGTGGGAGTTCCCGCTATCATTCATTCCAATCTTTTCCTGCCTCTCTCTCCTCTCTTCAGTTTCAGGGACCCAGCCATGTGCATGCCCATGGTTTACAGTATCCCATGTGTCTCATGGGTTCTTTCCTTTTTTTTTTTGGCGGAACCAGGGATTGAACTCAGACCCCTGCGCTTATCCTACTGAGCTATCTCCCGGGCCCTCTTTCCATTTTTCATTACTCGTTTTCACTCTGTTCCTTGGACAGGATCATTTCCATAGTCTTATCCTCAAGTTCACT